TCTTTGGGGTGAACCAGCCTTTGCCGTAATGTGTTTTGGGGTTTGAAAGCCACTGGGACATCATGTTTAGAAAATAAACGTCTCAGTTCCTCCGAACTCCTCCTACTGACAAGAAATGACTGCACTATGTAGAGTAAGAAAAAGAGAAACAATAAAACAATTTTAGTTAAAATTTTACTTTTTGGGCCACATAAAATGTTAACGAGGGCCGTATCTGGCCCGCAAGCCTTAATTTTGACACGTGGTGTAATGTTTGTAAGTCACAGGAAAAGACAAATGATCCAAATGTCTTAAATTAAACTTTTCCTGTGATAAACTGGACCTGCTGGTACCTCCATCTCACCTTTATAAASCCAAAAATAAAAGTCTCTAGGTTCACCCATGATCATCTGGACCATTTTAAGACCCAGGTCTGAGTCCTGAAACCTCCTGAGAAGATCATGTAACCCTCGGGATCAATAGGTTTTTGTTCAGGTCCACTGAAAACCTGAAGCATCTAAAGCTTCTTGACTTTTACAAACTTCCCCAGGAACCTGAAAAGAAGCTGGAAACATAAAACTCCACTGATCATATTTTCGTTATTAAATCTCCTGAACGCAGGAGAGATTATATTAAAACAACACTTTACAGCAGGGGTGTCCAAACATTTTGTCACATGGGACAAAATCATCGTCAGAAGGACTTGAGGGCCAAAAATGTTTCTCCTTTACCTGCTCAGCAATAAACTAAGATTTGATTACTTTAATTAAACAAATAAAGTTGTCAGATTCATCGCTCGAAATGGATGCGTAAATTAATCCAGATCCKGAACTTTAAAAGTGTTTTGCAGGTTTCCCTTATTGAAAGAAATTTTTGCAATTTTCTAGGTTTAATTGGGGGAAAAAAACAACCTAATTTAGTCAATTCTGATCAATAAAATCAGGATTCGGTCCCTCTTTTGTTGAAAATGCTCGCTGTATTAAGATGAATTTAATGAATTAATTAAAGCAGATTGGAGTGCAGCAAAATCAGTTTTTGAGTAGAAGTCACTACAGATGTGGAAAAATCTGAGTCTGGTTATTTAAAGACAAATAATTGATATTGTTGCCAATATTTCTTTATTAAAAGATGTTACTTTGTTCGTGATAAATTTGCCCTGATAACAAATAGAAAGTCTCCATCTACATCCAACAGCTGTGCCGGGAGGATAAATTTGTAAACAAATTAGTTTTATTCTTGAACTGAAGTCAGGGGCCACAAATGGCCCCCGGGCCACACTTTGGACACCCCTGCTTCACAGAAACCAGATAGTGACGTAGAACCTGAGGACCCCGCTCACCTGTTCGGTGTCCCGCTCATTGACAGTGGGCAGGGGGGTCCTGGTGGACATGGTACCGGGGTCAGTGTGACGGAGGTCCAGTCATGAAGCCGCCCTCTCCGCTCCGGAACACCTGTCTGAACTTCCAACCGGTTCCAAAGGACTGAAGGCGGCTCGAACTTCACTTKGTTTTACCGGAGCAGACTTCCACCCGGCATCACCAGCTACTTCTCCTGGCTACACAACCGGAGGGTTATCTGCTGGCCCGGCTCGGTTCGGCACGGCTTCTTTCCCGGAAGTTTGTAAATGACATGGATGCAAACGGAACCGTAGCAACAGTTCCTCTTTGGAGGCTAAAGTTAGCCGCCGAGTTAGCAGCCCCGACAGCACCGAGCTGTGTGTGCGCGTTGTTCGCGGGGTGGAAAAAACAGGTCCGGTTCCGGATCGGGCCGCCGGCTTCCTGGTCCGGTTGGCTTTGGCGAGACGGTCCCGGTTCGGTCAGCTCAAACGCGGTTCTGTTCGCTGAATTCCTACCTCATACTCCCCGGTAGAACTCGGCTAACCTGAGCAAAGATGGTGGACTTACCCAGCCCTGTGCGTCGGCAGGATGTGACGTCAAGGTCTGCGTGCAATTTGATTGGTTAGTCAGGCCGAGCGGTGGCGTTTGTTGTTACTAGGGTGACTTGAAAAAGACCGAATAGAATAGAATAGATATTTTGCTACTTTACTACTAGAAGCCTAAAAAGACTATTTCAATTTTTCTTTCAACAAAATGTTTGGAAACACACACACAAAAAATCCCATAAATTAATTAGCAGAATATGAGACAAAAGTTTTGAAATAAAAATAAATAAATAAATAAATAAATAAATAAATGTAAAGAAGCAGCCAACGTCTAAGTAAAATGTTTCATGTTGTTTGAAAGCCTAGATGATGTACGATGCAAAGAAATTGTGTTTGATTAAAACTTTCACTTTGCATCGTAAATTACACATTTGATTAAAATCCCCAATCTCTGATCCTATTAAGGTGACATTAAAAAAAACTGATTCTGTTTCTTAAGGTGTTGATTTTAAACTTAAAATAGTGATCTAGGTTTTCTTCAGGTCCATTCATTTCCTGTCACTTAATGCATTTGTGTAGATTCATGAAAAAAAAACATTTTTAAGAAAACATTTGTCTGCATAAAAATATATGTTTGTCTGCTAATAAGTCACAATGTCAAGAAAAGTAAATTTACTTGAAAATGGAACTTCCAACCAAACAAGTTTTTGCTAGTCTTTCAAGTCTTTTTCAAACCTCTGATTTGTTGAGACGGTCCCTTTGAGTTCCTGACAGGATAAGTAAACTCCTGCAGAAGRTCTCAACTGAAAGCTTGACGTGTCCCAAAAAGAGTTAAATGCTCAGCTGTATTCAACACAAACTGCAGCTGTAGATTCTTCTGTCTATTCAGCGTCTAACCAGCAGGGGGCAGCAGAGGTACTGAGTTTCTTCTGCATTCTCTGAAAAACCAAACTTTTCTGTTGTTTGCAGCTAAAACCAAAAGTAAAATCTGATTCAAGCAGTTTTTTGTTCTGAAGGCCGTGATGGTGTTTTTTTTTCCAGGAAGACACTGGACAGCATCCCACTGACTCAGATGMAAGCTTTTTAGAGTCCGATCAAAGATTTTTTAGAAGCATTTATGGATTTCTTCCAAATTGGGGAGTATTTCAGTAGCTCAGGTGGAAAAGATTTTCCAATGAAACTAAACTAAAAGAAACAGATGTAAACGGCCTGTATCTGAGGTGCTGTCATCCTGTTTTTTAATCATTTATTTACACTTATTTAAAATATTAATATTTTTTATATTATTTATCATGAATAAAATACACATTTTCAATTAGGTAAAAATATTTACCACCATTTAATATATTATAACAGGACATTTATATGACAAAATAATTAAAACACCATATTTTTAATAGTTTGGGTTACTTAGTACTTACCGAGCTGCTGAATGTTCAAAAACAAATGTTTCTAAAATGTTTGGATGGAATTATGTGACACCATGATTGTAATTTTTACACACATGGTATGAAGACTTTGTTTCCAAATATTACAATATCAGAATATCAGGCCCCACTTTTGCACAACAGAAGTAGATGGAGACACATCTATCATTTTTCTATACACCTTTATAGATAAGCTATAACATAAACATTAATGCAAGAATATGAATAACAGATTATAAACAGTTTCACAAGGGTCATAAGTTGATAGCATGCAGATGCTTCTCTTTGAAATAAAAAGTGTTAAAAGGAATTTGTGTCAATAGAAAACTTCAACTGAAAGTCAAAAACACTGTTGCTAAGACATTTATTAAAATGCGTCTAGAGAGATAAATCGCTGTTCCAATAAATAAGCAAATTTCGTCGAGTCAAAAGGAAAACCACGAGTCAACGAATAGCTCCAACCCCGAGTTTATCTTAGCTTGATTTGATAACACTAAGTTTTGTTTATGCATCAGCAAACTAAAAACATGATTTCACAATGCAGCAAACCTAAAGGGCAACCAGCACTCAACCCTGAGGAACACCAAATCAAAACTTAAGCTGAACTCAAGCTGAGTTTAACCTGTTTTACTGATTCCTTTGAGATCTGAGTTTCCTGGTTAGACAGCTGTATACACAAGCTTCATTTATAAATATGATACTATAGTAATACAGAGAATACAATAAGACAGATACAACAAACACCAGCTACACATAGCTAAAAACAATGCTAACGTGCTAACATTTTAACTCTTCAGCCCCATCTGCTTAATTTTGTTTTTGATCCATTTTACTTTAATACTGGAGAAGAACTGAGGTCTCTGATTGGTGGAGGCATCCAGGAGGCGGTTCTCCTCCACGCTGAGCCTGATGGAGCGAATGTCAGCAGCTGATAATCCATTTTTTAGGGACAGCAGCGCAGTCACATGAGGGCCACTAGGAAGAACCAGCACACAAGACATAAATCAAAGAGTCAGTCAAATAAATGATTAATCAAAGGTGCCATTTTTTTGGTAGGAATGTTCTTTTCAACTAAGGATGAGTGAAATTTCTGACAGATACTCCTACCACCATTTTGAATGATAACCTTAGACCTCCACCTTTGTTATCACCTTAAAGGTGTATGCAAATTACACACTTTTAAATTAACATGTTTTTACCAAAAATATACAAACCACCACAACTACCTGCAGGCTGGTCAGATTTTATTAAATGTATCATATCATGCTTTTAAATCCTTCTTTTTCACGTCTAAATCATTCACTTATGGTCTATTTAAAATAAAACTGCAACGCTTTGGTCTTAATTCCTCGTTTTRGTTGCTCCACAGACTCCTTGCTTTCCTTGCTTTACCCCTATTCTGAGTTGCACCTCAGAGCAAGCTGTTTTGGTGCGGTCTCTTTAAATATAAATGAGATATTTCACACCCCGCCCCCTCGGGTCGCTGAGCGTTCGACTCCACCCCGTTAGGCCATATTTGTAGTTTCATAGCAAAAACACAGTTATCTACCGGCTAAAAACTGTTTTTAAGATAAAATAAGATAAGATAAAACTTTATTGATCCCACAGTCTGGAAATTTGCACATTACTGCAGCTTAATACAAGAGAGGCTGAGAAGAATAATGAAAAATTAATAAAAGATAACAAACAAAACCCCACAATATGCACATGATATATAGTAATGTACCAATGCACATATACAGATATACATAAACAGATATGCTTATTTATATACATATATATACACCGTACAGTACAAAAATGAATGTATATGAAGGTGCATATTAGTGATGGCAGATGGCAAGAAAGTATAAGGATGCCAACAACGGTAGACTTGTCAATCCAGCCTTACATGTACGAGCCAGAGTCTGACCCAGTGCAAGACACTCAGAATGACAAACCTGCAGAACCACGTCTTCAAACAAATGTGTCACAATGGTGCGTTATTTATTTACACACTCTATGTCCTTACCTACACTGGGGAGCATAGCTAAACTAAAATACATGCATTTGAACTACTATTATATTATATAATTTACTTTTGTGATCAATAAAGTATTTTTTAATTGAACAACTACAATATACTCACACTCACTGTACAGATGTGAAATTATTTTAAATAAATTGATTTTTGTGCTTGACTGTTAGTTTGAAATGTACAAAAAGCAAATAAAATGTAATTGTTTTGATTTTTCATTACCAATTAGCTTATTGATTTCCATATGTCAAATCAGAACTTAAATCATAATTAAATGATCAGTCACATTCTACTTTGGAACTGTAACTAATATTGTATGTCACAGGTCTGTGGGACAGCAAAGAACCTGGAACCCAAACGTCTAAGCCAGATAAATTTCAAATGCCACAAGGCAGAGCATCATTTCAACTCTAACTCCAGGGCTTTAATGACAGAAGTACTCCCAAACACACCTCATCATCTTTCACACAAAGACTTCAGAGATGGTGTTAGCAAAGCACAYATTCAGCCACTTTTCCTTCTCCAGAAAACWCTAATTGGAAAGTAACATGATGATGTACTGACAACATTGAATGTAAGAATTTATGTACTTTATTACTCCTTGCAATAAAAAAGTGTCAAATTACATTTATGGTTTTGAAAAAAATCATTTTTACCTAAAATGCAAAATTATATATGTTCAATAGCTTTTTCTGTATGTGGAATGCATTGCCTTCATAAAATWTYTTAGRAACAYWAGATAAAAATGGGAGCAATCAAATCAAATAKATTTATCACATKCACAAAGTTCAACTTGCAGTGAAATGTTTTTATGACAAAAATTGAAATTTAAAAGTACACAGAACACAGTAAAAAAATACTGAATTTTTTTGTAGAACGAAATGTGACCCATCACATCGAAACGAGGATTAAGTCCAAAAGTGACGTAAGGAGAAATAGGCAAATATAGTGTTTTGACTAAAATGTTAAAAAATTGCATTTTGTCAAAATATAATGAATAAAAGCCTTATCAATGTATCAGTTGAATGAACTGTCTGAAATATAATTATAAAACAAACAACCCTGTTGTGGGTCCATTTCCTTGAAAAATGAAACTTAACCAGGCACTTTGAAGAAGCTCTGACGCTGGTAGTCTGTGTAGATAATAATGTGGGTTTACACACGCCAGAACCGAACATTTTGACTTCTGAACTTGCATATTCGGCATGACGCTATGGACTACAAAATCACACAGCGAGGAAAAAAATGGCGGACTATGAAATCCATTACCATAAATGGTAGTTCTGAAGAAAAAAGTGTGACGAAATAAACAATGAAACGAAATAAGCAACAGCAGATTTTGAATAAACTGAAAAATTTGACCCATAAAAAATATAAAAATATCTTTGCAGTAACTGGACAGAATAAATTAAAGTTTTCTACACTCCTAGACACTATAATTGCACAAAAATAGTTTATAAATGCAAAAAAAGTGCATTTAGCATGATATGTCTCCTTTAATACGATATCGTCAAAAACCCTGTTAATGTTGCTGAAATACTTCAAAAAACTACAAATGTGCTTTTAAACGAGGCAGGTAATGAGCCACGACTGGACCAATTGTGTGCGTCTTTGGTTCCTTTTGAGCCGATAGGCTTCAACTCTGACACAGGAGATAAAAAGGGACTGCAGGAACAGAAAAGAGGATTGAAATGGTGAACAGAGCAGTGGGAAGGTCACTCTTGTGAAAACTTTAGACAGTGACTCATGTTGAAAAACGTCACTCTGGTTCCTCTGCCCTCCTCCGAGTGCCCATCACATTTTTTCCAGACTTCCTTAAAGCTGCTTGAAATCAATCAGAGGAAAAGCTCATCAAGACAGGCGGTCATTTGGGAAAATTCTGAATTCCTGGAACCCACAAACATTCATTAACTTCTTGGTACAAAAGGAAAATTACAAAACAAGTGTTCATTTCGACATCCTGCCACTGCCTCCAACAACCCAAACAAATGGAAGAAAATGTTTCTCAGTCGCTGAATCGAGCATGAGCTTCATTTATTCATTCAAAACCAGCGAGCCTTATTAGTTTTTGACTTGCATCAGTCATCAGAGAAGTAGAACAACCCAGAAACTTTGTCTAAATGTCTCAGATCATAATCTGTGTTAAATCCAGCTGGAGCATCATTCAGTCCATTCATAGGTAACACACCTGTGACAGCTTACCCCGCCCCCACTAACCCCCCAGCTGCTCCCTGTCCTCTCCAACACAACCAGCAGTTTCTCACATTCAGCTCATGTTTGTGTAGGAAGACACACAATGACACATGTACCAAACAAAGAGACACAGGGGAGGGAAMGAACACGTTTGGCTCTGTGCCAGGTGTCATGTGTCAGACCTGAACCACCAAACCGTTTATAAAAAGTTTTAAAGGGCCAATATTATGTGTTTCTAAATACTATACCATAATAAAGTTTCTATGTCACATTTAGCTGTTATTAAAATGCTGTTTTTACATTTAAATAGAAAATAAACTTATCTTCTCATCACTTCCTCTTCTAAATGCCTTGAAATTGGCCTCATTTCAGTGCGGGGCGGGGGGGGGGTGCTATGATGTAGTTGATTTGGCATCTGAAAATACATTTCCTCAAAGGTATTTTTAATCTGAAAAGTACTGAGCCCGCTAGGGGACATGAGGGGATTTTTTTTTTTCGTTTTGCGTTCCCACGCTAAAGTATTGTGTTCCCTCGCAAAAGTCCTTAAACACTGTTGTGCCTGCCGGTTTATTAATAAACTCACATGTTTACCATTAG